GCACGCCCCCCACAGTAAAAATCTCTCAAAAAAAAAAAAAAAAAAAAAAAAGAATTGAGGGACCAGCAGTTAGCATAATGGCTATGTTGCTGGACTCCTATGTAATCAATTGTGGTTCGAGTCCCGGACCCGGTGGCTTAAACTTATGGAGGGCACATGTGCGTGCATGCCCAAGATCCCGAGAAGAGAATGGAGGAGAAGGGATTGTGGCATGGCCATCCCACCAGGGGAGGGACGATTTCTCGCTGTCTCTCTCTGTCTTTCTGGCATGCGCACGCGTCCTATAGCAAAAAAACCTCTCCAAAAAGAAAAAAAAAAGAATTGAGACTTGATTAAATTTTTACTGCTGCAATATGAACATTCTTAAGTTAAACTAGCTTTTTTTTTTTTAACTGCATCTCCCTAGTGAAGAATACAATGACTTGTTCGTAGATGCCCAAAGCACCAGTTTTACATGCCATTCATTGCTTTGGCACCACAAGTGCAAATGTCAACCAGTGAAAAGAGCAAACAACATGTTAGTATTACTACAAAAATCGTCTTGACCTTGTGAACCCCCTGAAAATTAATGCCAGTTCCTCCAAAAGTATTGCAGGAGACTCCATCGGGTCTACAGACCACATTTTCAGAACTGCTATATTAGACCACACTTAACAGTCCTGAGGAATTCAGGGAGGTGGCAGACTGCCCATCACCAGTGAGCACGACAGGGGGTAAGAACATAAACAAATAGGTATTTCATTCCAGTCTCTGTAGAGCAATTGAAGTAATTCTATGACTGTAAAGGTTAATTTAAAGGCACATTCAGGCAATAGGTTTCTGCTCTGAGGATAAGCGGGGAAGGCCCACTAATTCCTTTTCTACCTCCTTTCTCTGGCTGCTTTTCACCATTAACTTAGCTCTTCTCTCTCTTTCATACCTCCCCTGACCTGGGAGGATGGAGGAGAACAGAGTCTGGGAGACTGCATTTAAGCTAGCAGGTAACAAATTCAAACACTTCTAGGGCCCAGGCAGTCTAAATGAAGTGAAGTGTTCCACC